GTGTGTGTGTGTGTGTGTGTGTGTGTGTGTGTGTGTGTGTGTGTGTGTGTGTGTGTGTGTAGGTCTGGAAGTGTTGAAGCAGGAGACCGCCGTGGTGGAGGGGGTTCCCATCCTGGGGCTGTACCAAACGCCGTCAGACGGCGGCGGTCGCATCGCTCTGTACGGAGACTCGAACTGCATCGACGACAGCCACAGACAGAAAGGTTTGTTTCCAGCCGCCGGCAGCTGCTCTCCTTCCTGTTTCATCGCTCATGATCTGAACTGTCCACAGACTGTTTCTGGCTGCTGGACGCTCTGCTGCAGTACACCTCCTACAGCATGACCCCGCCCAGCCTCAGCCACTCCCACAGCAGAGTGGCGCCCCCTGCAGGTGCAGACAGCCCACTGCCACAGAGGCTGGAAGGTAAATCTCTGAGGGCTCGTTCAGACCAGCTCAAACTGTTGAAATTATTTAATAAGAAGTGTTGATGTGAGCTCATTTTGAAAAGATGAAAGGAGAAAAAAAGACTAACTTTGCAGAAAAACAGTAAAAAGACACACTATCTAGTTGAAACCAGAAAACAGCTAAAAGCTAAGAGCTAAAAAAGCTGAATATAGATGAAAACATCTGTTAGGAGCATAAATAGCACTAGGTAGCAGAAAAAAGCAGAAAGAAGCAGATATATAGCTAAAGTAGCATAAAATAGCTAAAATTAGCATAAAATAAGCTAAAGGTAGCAGCCACAATTTGAAATTAGCACCCATTTGAAATAGTTATAGTTGAAAAATAGATAAAACAGAAAATAGGCAGAAAAAAATCATAAAATTACGTAAAAGTAATAATTTGTAGTAAAACAACTAAAACAGCTGAAATTTTCAGTAAAACAGCTAAAACGTAGCTGGAAATGATTTAATTAGCATAAGGAGCACAAGTCAGAAGAACTTAGCTGAGAAAAGTTGTAATAGCTACAAAAATGTATGTTTAACCTAAAAAAGTTTATTTTGGCTAATAACAGCTAAACATTAGCTAAAATTGCAGCAAACAGCTGAATATGTCAGAATGTATCTGTAAGAAGCATAAATAGCACAAAAAATAATCACAAAAAGTAGAAAAAAGAGAAGAATAGCAGAAAAAGCGGAATTTTAGCTGAAATAGCAGAAAAAAGCTAAAGTTAGTAAAATATAATAAAGTAGCTCAAATTAGCACAAGGAAGTGAAAAAGAGCAGAACCAGAACAAAATGGTTAAGGTGCTGTAAAGATTTATAAACATCTTAAAGGATTTTCAGGTCGTTGAAAACAGCTCCATTCATTTTCAGTGGGAAAAAAGAAGCTAAAAAAGTGAAACAGCTAAAAAGTATAAAAAGCTGAAATACCAAAAGTCATAGCAGCCCTGACATGAATGAGCTGAACATTTTGAAATATGAATTGTTGAAATAGCACAAAAATTGTGGAACGAGTTAGATGCTGAAAAATGTACAGAAGAAAAAAATAGATTTTATTTATTTATTTATTTATTTATTTATTTATTTACTTATTTATTTATTTATTTACTTCCATTCCTCAGGAAACCATCTGTACCGCTACTCCAAGGTTCTGGAGGCTCACCTGGGAGACCCTAAGCCACGCCCCCTGCCAGCGTGCCCCCACCTGTCGTGGGCGAAACCACAGCCGCTCAACGAGACGGCGCCCAGGTAAAGTCCTGAGAGTTAACCCCGGCGACAACAGATTGTTAAAACAGAACGAACCCTCTGGATTTAAATGATAAATAAAAACCTGAGTACTTCCTGCTGTTTTCCTCACTTCCTGCCACGCCCCCTTCCTGTCTCTCCTCTCAGTAACCTGTGGAAGCACCAGAAGCTTCTCTCCGTGGACCTGGACAAAGTAGCTCTGCCCAACGTGAAGCCGTACCGTCCCCAGGTCCGACCTCTGTCTCCGGGGGAGAGCGGGGCTTGGGACATCCCCGGAGGTAACGCCCCTTTTCCCACGCTTCTCTTTTTGTTGGAGTTTCCCTTCGTCCGACTCATTCAGCTGCTTAGAACAGCCTCGCCTCGCAGCCGGAGTTATTGAAGCCTTTTTTATGTTTGTGTAACAGAATAAATCAGTTTGAACAGAAATATTCGGCTGATGTCACAATAATAAAATCTAAATGTTCAGCTCGTTCAGGACTTGGATGCTGGGGTCTTTACTAATTCTTTTTTTTTAATCTGTATTTTTTTCTCTGTAAAATGAAAGAACTCTTCAGATCCGTGAAGAAATGGGACTCTTTAGCTTTTAGCACTGTTTTTGCTAATATCAGTCTTTAGCTTCTGATTTGATAATTTTAGCTTTTAGCTACCGTTTTTCTAAATTCTTTTAGGTTTTGTTTAGCTAATCTTAGCCTATGGTTCTTATTTTACTAATAGGTTTAGCTACTGTTATGCTGGTTTTAACTTTCAGCTACTGGTTTGTTAATTTTAGCTTTTAGCTACTGTTTTTCTATATTTTAACTTTTATTTTTTGTTTAGCTAATCTTAGTCTTTAGTTTTTATTTTGCTAATAGGTTTAGCTACTGTTATGCTGGTTTTAGCTTTCAGCTACTGATCTGTTAATTTTAGCTTTTAGCTACTGTCTTGCCAAATGTTAACGTTTAGGTTTTGTTTAGCTAATCTTAGCCTTTAGTTCCTGTTTTGCTAATATTGAGTTTAGCTACTGTTATGCTGGTTTTAGCTTTTAGCTACTGTTTTGCTACATTTACTCTTAGGTTTTTGTTAATTTTAATTTTTGTTTGATTTATTTTAAGAGTTCTTAGAGTTTTCAGAAAAAGTTATTTTTCTTGTTTATTTTAAGTTAATTTTTTTCTCAGGCTCTTATTTTGAAATGTTTTTTTATTGTTATTTTATTTCCAGTGTGTTATTGTTTAATAAAGACCTCAGATTAATAAGCTCATATATCTAGTTATATAAAACTGCACCTGCGTGACCCTGTGTGACCTCTGACCCCTCTCGTCCTCAGGGATCATGCCGGGTCGGTACAACCAGGAAGTGGGTCAGACCATCCCAGTGTTCGCCTTCCTGGGTGCCATGGTGGTCCTGTCCTTCTTCGTGGTCCAGCTCACTAAAGCAAAGAGCAAACCGAAGCGAAGGAAACCTCGCATCAAGCGGCCCACCTACCTGCAGCAGCAGACCGCCGCGGCCGGGAAGAACCCCACGGTGTGACCGCGCCCGCCCCGCCCCGGACCAGACCTCAGAACCGAGACCAGGACGAACCGGACTGTTGGACCAGCTGTTTTTAATCCCGCCCCCTGGACTCAGGTTTTGTGCCTCTCTGGTCGCCGGCGCCGTTCGTGTGTTTCTGTGGACCAATGAACAGTATTAAACCCGTGAAGTAAAACACGCATCGGGCCCAGAACCGGGCCCAGAACCGGGCCACACCCAGTCCAAGTGGACTCATGTCCTTCCTGCTCGTCTCTCTGGATGAAATCTTTATATTTATTAACTCTTCGCGCCGCGGCTGAAGCTCCGCCTCCAACAGAATCATGTAGAAACTGGAGGAAATGATCCGTGCCTGTTTTCTACTTCCTGCCCGTACGACGTACAAAAAAACTCTTTTTGTTCTTGTTTTTATTTTTATAAACCGAGTTTTCTGCTCGAATCATCGGTGGTGATCAGCAGCTTCTTCAGATATCTCTCATCAATAAAAAGCATAACTCAACTTGTTTTTGTCTTAAATTATAATTTTATTTCATTTGGTGACGTTTTAGTTTAATGAACGCTCATCAACCATTGAGATGTTCCTGTTTCAACGCTTCATAAATGAAAAGCTTCGGCTCGTTTAGCTGCTACGACGTCTGGTGTTTCAGCTATTTAAACTTTAGAGATATTTAGCTTTTTCTGCCATTTTGTTTTCATTGAAAATGAATGGAGCTGTTTTCAACATCAGTAAAACTCTTTACTGTATTTTATTGGTCAGATTTTTAACTTCTTTCTGCTAATTTTAGCTGTTTTCAGTGTTTTTCAGCTATTTTCTGCTTCTTTTTACCTCTTACCATTTTAGGTGTTTTATGATCCTTTCTGCTTCATTCTGCTGTTTTTATTTTTTTCCTGCCTTTTCAGCTACTTTTTAGCTGTTTTATTTATTTGTTTTTATTTTATTTATTTATTAATGAATTTATTTATTTATTTAATTATTTATTTGCTAAAATGAGCATCATTCAGCTAAATTCATGTTTTGGTGGATTTTCAGCCTTTTTTCTGCTTAATCCAGCAAATGCGCTCTGTTAGTTTCTTTCTGCTAATTTCAGCATTTTTGTTACCTTTCAGCTGTATTTTAACATATTTTTAAATCTAAATTCACATTTTTCTGATCATTTCAGCTTCTCACTGCTTAATTCAGCAAACTTCAGTGACGACCCCTGAAGGTCACAGGTCAGTCGTTTATCTGCTCACAAAGCTTCACATTTATTTTCTTATATTTCGTTTGTCAGCTCAACCTTTGTTTTTGCTCCCTCGAACTTCTGATATTTTCAACTTTTTTCTGCTTTTTAGGCTACATTTTTGCAAATATTTATTATTTACTACTAACTTTAGCCACATTTCTGTTCTGTTTAGTTGTTTTGACACATTTTGCTGTTTTTCTACTGATTTTTCTCTTTTGGTTTGTCTACTTTCACTCACATGAACTGATTTGTTTTCACACTGCATCTTCACAGGAAATGCAAATTCTCTATTTTTAATATTTTCTAAGGAACCACCTGTGTGTGTATTTAATGAAATCAGTGACGATGATCTGTGGGGAATAAATCCTTTAGGACGGGTTATTGTAGTTAACTAAAACTATCGAAGTAACGGAAACTAACATTTAAAAAACATTTTAGTTAACTGAAATAAACAAAAACACATCTGTAAATCAGTTGTGTGATAAAAACCTTAACAGATACTTTTTAGCTTCATTAAGTCACTTGCTGGTGCTGTACATTACATGTTGTGTTCTCTGTTGTAAACATGATGATGTCATGCAGGGACATCAGAGGCAGGAAGTCAGAGTGAGGGAGAGACAGGAGCAGACCAACAGGTAAGAGAGAAACACAGAACAGATATTTTATTTTAGAAAATCTTCTGATGACAGTAATATTTGTAAAAAGTACAATGATGATATCAGATGTGATCGATGTCTTTTCTTTCCTCTCTTTCTAATCTGTACTTCCTGTTTTATGTGACTTTTAGTATTTTTGGTCAGGTGTGAGCTTTTGCTGCCATGAGACTCTGTCCTACTGGTTAAATATTGCATTAGCATGAAAAATACAACTTCAAACCTCTTCAAGTACATTAGTCAACAATTATTGTGCATCAAGAAGTCCTTTACGGTATGAGTATTCACACACTGACATTGTGATGACAATATATCTGTTATACTGTGCAATCCTGTTAGACTCTAGATCAGGGGTGCCCAAACTTTTTCTCTGAGAGGGCCAAAATTAAAATCAATCTGAGGACCGCGGGCCAAATGCAGTAATATAAGAAATGCTTAATACTTAAGTTAAGTTGTTTTATTTTTTATGATTAAGCTAGCAGCCAGTGTGGTTGCCCACATTTTTTATTTTTTTTTTTCAGCCCATGGACATGGAGAAAATTCAACATATGCTCAGGCTGCAAAGACTCATGGGACTTTTCATAATTTAAAATTTGAGTATATGGGGTCTTATAACGTTGTGCAAATCTATATATGGGCTTAAAGCTAATGTAAATGTCTCTTGTAGTTACTTGTATTTTATATTTAATCTTAACATAATTACAATCTAATAACCAGGACAACTGCTGGTGGGCCAAATCAAATGGCTTGGCGGAACAATTTTGGCCCGCGGGCCCCACTTTGGGCACCTCTGCTCTAGATATTTTGTTGGGTGGTTTACCCACACCACCATTTTCCAGGAAAATGTCCAATAGCATTTTATGAATGATTTGCAGTGTACAGTTAATTTATGACATATTTCTGCTCAGACTAAGTACAAATCTGTCAGGTTTCCAGTATTATGTCCTCCTCAATAGTAAACTTATTCCTACACCCATGGCTGCTGTTAGCTAACTCAGAAACAACACAAGCTTGGCAATTTTTTTTTCAAACTATAAGAAAACTAATACTAGAACTAATAAAAAATTAAAACTAGACATTAAACAAAAAATAACTAATAATAACTAACAAATCCACTCTAAAAACTAATTAAAACTAACTGAATTCAAAGAAAAAAGTCAAAACGAACTAAAACTAAAGTTCAAGTTTATTTATATAGCACAACATACGTTGTCTCAGGTTACTGTAGATAAAAAGAACAATGTAAAGAAGAAAGCAGCAGATTGTGTTGAATCACTTCATCACAGTCTCCCATCCTGAGCAAACGGTGGAGAGGAAAAACTCCCTGCTAATCAGGAAGAAACCTCCAGCAGAACCAGGCTCAGGACAGGAGACCATCTGCCTCGACCGGCTGCTTGGAGGACAAAATTAAACTTTAATGAAAAATCCAAAGTTATAAAACCAATCCAAGAAGCTGATTTATCCAAACATTTTGAGTTTTAGCCACAAGTGGCTTTAAGTTCTACAGATGGGATTTTTTTACATAAATATTTGTGGTTTTTACACTGTAAAATGTGCTCCTAGCTGCTGGTACCGTTCACTCACTGTTTTCTTTTTAGTGTTTGTGGATAAAGTTAACGTCTGAGAACTAAAACAAGAAAGGAGCAGCTGAAACACATTTTGTCTGTTCCTTAACGAGGAGTAGTTCCAGGTTGATGAACAAATCTCCAGGGTTTGGGATTGATTCTGGGCCCAACTCAGTGAAGGTTGATTTGATCAGAGGCGATGAGCGTCGGGGGGCTGAGCCTAATCAGCCGGATCAGTCTGTGGATCTGTCACCTGTCCTCCCTCGCTCCGGGGCTAATCTCCCTCGGAACCTTGGGAAACTGGGAAAGAACCTCGGAGCTGCGCTAACAAGATTTGGGAAAGTCAGCGGTGAGGGGAGGTCACATGCCCCGTTTCCCTCCCAGGTTCCCAGATGGAGCCACTTCCTGTTTGGCCAGTCAGGTCACTTGGAAGCAATGCGGTGACGGCGGCTCGGAGCCAAATATTTCGGGTCGTTCCTCGGAGCCGGTCCTGTACCAGTTCACATTTTGTACTCGTGCCTGTCCCACCTGCTCACATGTCCTCCTGTCAGCCTCCCTGGCTCCGGTGGGCTCCTCAGGAACTGAATGTGCAGCTGGTTGACCCCACTTCAGAAACGCCCCGATGAACGTGTGAAAATCAAGTTACTGAACACCTTAGAGTGAGTCCGGTCCAAACCGTGGAGCTTTACTTTATTTTAACCAGAGGTTTATAGTAACTAAGTATATTTACTTTACTACAGTAGCAGTGGTTCCCAAAGTTGGGGTCGGGACCCAAAGTGGGGTCCTGAAAAGATTTTCTAAATTAATTACATTTTTGCCTTAGTTGCCTAAAATGTATAAATGTAGAATAATAAATATTGTTACTGTGCCCGTGTTTAGTTCACCTGATCCAAAAATAGTTGTGGGCACAGGTCTGCTGTTAATTTTGTGAAAAGTTTGGGAACCACTGCACTTCAGAAATCAATTTAAAGGGTAATAAAAAAATTGGTGATGTAATATTTTACCTCTAATTACACAAAATGAGTAATATTTATATTTGTGTAGCCTTTTATTTTAGGGTTATTAACAAAGTTTGTGTACTCAGACCTGTAATATTTGGGGTCACAAGTTTTTGCCATGAATATTTTGTGGGTCAGAAGATAAAAAGTTTGGGAACCACTGATTTAGAGGATTTTTAATTTTACCAACTATTTTTTAAAAAGCTACTTTTACTTCGTTACATTTTAAAGTTAAAATGATACTTTTATATGGGATCAATCTTGTTCCAGCAGGAACTGAATTTGAATTGCTCAGATTGAATCTGAATGTGCATCATTTGAAATTGAATTCATTGGTTTGAAAATGAATTTTACTAAATTGAAACTGAATTTAAAGTTTTGTATCTGAATTAATTTTCTTTGAAACTGTATTTTGGTTTATTAAAAACTCAGTTTGACTACTTTCACTTTCAGTTCCATAATTCAGATTTTTGTGTCACATCCTAGTCCTTGAGAAAGCCAGGCAGAGTAATCAAACACAGATCCACAGATTTATGTTTCACTTYGGTGAAGTTTCCCTTCTGGATGTAACAGAGTTGATGCTAACTTAAAGTCCGCTAACAGCTGACTAACTAGCTAACAACAGGTTTGTGTCAGTCTCACTAGTCTTCAGCTCGATGGAGACAAAGACCGTAACAGTAGCAGTTAGAAATTAGCTGTTACTGTTAGCTTCCGTTATTTTATTTTTACTTGTTTAGCTGTTTAATGAAAGTGGAGCTATAATTTTAGTTTTATATAAAGGGTTTATGTGTAGATAAAGCAACGTTTTACCAACCACAACAAATTTTAAAGTGCCTGTGACGTGCTTATCCTTCAACGTCAAAGAAAACATTGTTCTGTTTAAGAAACTTGGCATAACATTATTTTACCCATTTAGATCCATAATTGGCCTATTTTCTTTTGAACTTGGCTCGGCAAAAAGGAAACAGGAAGTGACATCAAAGGGGAACTCCTTTAAGAAAAAGAACTCTCTGATCTTTAATGAAACTTTGTTATTTAAACTCTGACTCTTTTTTTGTTTGTTTCTGTCTGATAGAGACTCAAAATAATCTAAAACCTTTGATTCCTCTCCACAGTTACACTACACTGTTTTCATGCAGACACTCCCCTTTGACATCACTTCCTGTTACTTCACATGCAAATATCTCAACAACTGTTCATCTCAGCAGCATGAAAATTATTTTGTAATATGTTCTAAGTGTTATCTTTCCAAAAATGCATTTGTATTATTACAAAAAATTTGATGTCACATGCACTTTGACCCAATATCTGTTTGCTAATGGTGGCCATATTGAAAGGCATTAACTTCGAAATTAAATCAGTTGTAAATTATTTATTATTTTACCAAATAACTTTTGTTTTCAAGTGTTTTAGTTAGATTAACTTTCTTTAACTTTCAAACCCCTTTAAGACGCAGACGTCAATGATTTAAAGCAGTGGTTCCCAAACTTTTTATCTTCTGACCCACAAAATATTCATTGCAAAAACTTGTGACCCCAAATATTACTGGTCTGAGTACAGGAACTTTGTTAATAACCCTAAAAACACAGGATTTTTGACAATCTAAAGAGCTTGTACACAAATATAAATACTTAATTATACTTTTTTGTGTTTTTGTAATAGTTATAGGGAAAATATTACATCAGCAATTATTTTATTACCCTTTAAATTGATTTCTGGAGATTATCCAAGGTGCTTCATGACCCATAATTGGATCCCAAGCCCAACTTTGGGAACCAAAGTGCAGTGGTTCCCAAACTTTTCAGCTTTTGACCCACAAAATAAGAGTAGAGACCTGTGCCCACAACTATTTTTGGATGAAAAACATTTGTATCAGGTCAACTAAACATGGGCATAGTAACAATATTTTTTATACTACATTTATCCATTTTAAATACACTAACCTCACTCCTTTGTAACAACTAAGGCAAAAACTTTAATTAATTCAGGAAATCTTTTCAGGACCCCACCTTGATGTTTCGGGACCCTACTTTGGGTCCCGACCCCAACTTTGGGAAACACTGGTTTAAAGAGTGGAAGCGAAGTTTCCGAGCCGCACCTGAACGCAGCGGCCGGGCCCTCTCTGGCCCCGCCTCTCCAGCACGCCTCCGCCCGGCTCACCCTGCAGGGCGGGCGGCCGCCGGAGCTCAGAGTCTCCCGCGGGTCGAAGGATGGAGGAGTTGGCCAGAGAGAGCATCAGTCTGCTGGCTTCAGCCTCCTCCAGGTGTCGGCTGGACCCGGCGGGGCCGCGGCTGGGCTCCGTGGGGGCCGTCTTCATCATGCTGAAGTCTGCTCTGGGCGCTGGGCTCCTGAACTTCCCCTGGGCCTTCCAGAGAGCCGGGGGGGTCCGCAGCGCCGTGAGCATGGAGCTGGTGAGCACCGGGTCCATTTAACTTTAATTCTATTTATAAACGGCTGGCTTCAGGCAAACACAGCCTGCTTTAAATGTTCGTTTTTAATGTTTGATTAGAGGTTTGAACCAGGAGTGATTCTGTCATCAATTAATGTGATTAATTAATTTCATCTGACAGGAGCTCAATTAGACCCTTTTAAAGCTTAAAACCATTGTTTGATCTCTTTTTAAAGATTTTACTAAACTTTTCACTCCAATGTTTCCAGTTTTATATCTTAGTGAAACTAAATTTGATGAATGTCATAAAGAAAATCAAATTTCCTTCAATAATTTGTCATTTTGAGAAAAGTTTTTATCATTTTTTATTGTTTAACTTTAGTGAAAAGACAAAACAGGCTATTTTATTAGTTTAAACATAAAATGTTTATTGTTTATTTTGTATGGTTGCTGTTTTGGTTCTTATTGGATTAATTTTTTTTTATCCTGAAGCCAAAATTTACTTGTATATAAATGTGATTAAATTTAATTTTATTTGGCTACTCATTTAATCTCCATTTATTTCCAACAAATTTTAAAAACTGTGATTTTTCTCAACTAAATGCTGTATTTATTAAAGAATAAATAATGTATTTAATGTTAAAAACTGAAATTTTATTGGTGATTTTTGATAAAACTGGTTTTAATTTGCCTTTAGCAGTAACAGGTTAGAGTTAAAATGAGACATATATTCACCTGCTGTGTGCATTTATTTATTTCAACACAAAATTAGTCTAAAACTCAACAAGTTGAGTTAAAATCTGGTGTGGTAGTAGCTGAGAGTTGCTCCTAACTGATCTGTTAGTAAAATATCTACATGTTGTCGGCGGGTGACATGCATTCCTTCAGGGTTAGAGGTTAACACTATAAAAACTCTATAAAACCTGATTTGTTACATAATAATCAGGATCGGCTGATTTTAAATTAAATAATTATTTTATTTATCTGCCTTCCGCAGATATTCACTAAACTGTTAAATAAGTTTTGCAGCCATGACTGAACCTCATTAGTTTCACTGTTTGATAAACATCAACCTATTTTTAATGCAAATTAAAATTTGAGTTGTTTATTTTGTGAACCTCTCAGAGAAACTTGACTCACTTTGGTGAAAGAAAAAGTAGCTAAAATAATCTTCATTTTATCATTAAATCAAAGTTTTTTACGTCTTCAGAAATAATTATTTTAATGTTCCTCTGACGGGAAATCCCTTCGTTTAATGTTTGCACCAATAAAAGTAAAGTATTTTTTTGTAAATGAGCTGATAAATGTTTGAATTTCAACAAACTGCATCTCAATTTGAAGCTTTTAAGATGGAGAATGAGAAAATCTGTAGTGCTGTGATTCATTACTTTGCCTGGTGTCAGATCTCTCTGGTGTTCCTGACCAGCGGCCTCATCATCCTGGGCTACTCCTCCTCCGTAAGTGGCGGCGGCACCTACCAGGCGGTGGTGAAGCGGCTGTGCGGCCCGGCCATCGGGCAGCTCTGCGAGGTCTGCTTCGTCTTCAACCTGTTCATGATCTCCGTGGCCTTCCTGGTCATCGTCAACGACCAGCTGGAGAAACGTGAGTGGAGCGGAAACACTCGGAGCCTCTGTCGCCCCCTGGTGGCCGTTCGGTGACTCTCACTCAGTGAAACTCTGTCCCGTCAGTGTGCGACTCCCTCTACGAGCTGGTGAGCGGGTCGCCCAGGTCTGAGCTGGAGTATCACGTCTACACCGACCACCGCCTGGCTCTGCTGCTGCTCTGTGCCGTCCTCATCCTGCCGCTGTCCGTCTCCAGGGAGATCAGCATCCAGAAATACATCAGGTTCTTTGTTTCAGCCCAAATAAAGTTTATTAGAGTTTTAGTTTTCAGCTGAGTTATGCTTCAGTAATAAAATGTTGGTGTAAATGAAGGTGAGGTTTTGTGGAAAGATTATGAATAGTTAATATCTTACCTGTTTAAGATGAGATGGAGCGTTATTGATCCAAACCTGGAGAAAGTCTCCTTACAAAAAAATTGTAAACAAGGCAAAAAGGTTTTAGATTTGACGACTTGTTTTCATCTTCCTTTTGTTTTGTTTTTGTGATATCATCATATCCTGATATCGTCATATCGTGATATCATATCCTGATATCGTGATATCATCATATTGTGATGTCGTCTTCCTGATATCGTCATATCGTGATATAGTCATATCGTGATATCGTCATATCCTGATATCGTCATATCGTCATATGGCGATATCATATCGCGATATCGTCATATCCTGATATCATCATATCGTGGTATCATCATATCCTGATATCGTCATATCGTGGTATCATCATATCCTGATATCGTCATATCATGGTATCATCATATCCTGATATCGTCATATCGTGGTATCATCATATCCTGATATCGTCATATCGTGGTATCATCATATCCTGATATCGTCATATCGCGATATCTTCATATATTGATATCATCATATCGTGATATCTTCATATCCTGATATCGTGATATCTTCATATCCTGATATCTTCATATCCTGATATCGTCATATCCTGATATCGTCATATCACAATATCTTCATATATTGATATCATCATATCCTGATATTGTGATATCTTCATATCCTGATATCGTCATATCCTGATATCTTCATATCTTGATATCATCATATCGTGATATCTTCATATCGTGATATCTTCATATCCTGATATCTTCATATCCTGATATCGTCATATCCTGATATCGTCATATCTTGATATCGTCATATCGTGATATCTTCATATCCTGATATCTTCATATCCTGATATCGTCATATCGCAATATCTTCATATATTGATATCTTCATATCCTGATATCTTCATATCTTGATATCATCATATCGTGATATCTTCATATCGTGATATCTTCATATCGTGATATCTTCATATATTGATATCTTCATATCCTGATATCTTCATATCCTGATATCATCATATCTTGATATCGTCATATCCTGATATCTTCATATCCTGATATCGTCATATCGCAATATCTTCATATATTGATATCTTCATATCCTGATATCTTCATATCCTGATATCATCATATCTTGATATCGTCATATCGTGATATCTTCATATCGTCATATCGTCATATTGCGATATCGTCATATCGCGATATCTTCATATATTGATATCATCATATTGTGATATCTTCATATCCTGATATCGTGATATCTTCATATCCTGATATCGTCATATCCTGATATCTTCATATCTTGATATCATCATGTCGTGATATCTTCATATCGTGATATCTTCATATCGTGATATCTTCATATCCTGATATCTTCATATCCTGATATCGTCATATCCTGATATCGTCATATCGCGATATCTTCATATATTGATATCTTCATATCCTGATATCTTCATATCCTGATATCATATCTTGATATCTTCATATCGTGATATCGTCATATCGTGATATTGTCATCGCGATATCGTCATATCGCGATATCTTCATATATTGATATCATCATATCGTGATATCTTCATATCCTGATATTTTCATATCCTGATATCGTCATATCGTGGTATTGTGACCCGTGTTGTGAAATGTACCATATCACTAAACTCCAAATGTTTCCACAAGTCAGGTGTAGATAAGTGACTCGAACCTACAGACCCGACCTGTTGATGGACCCATTATTTGACTCTGAACCAGGTGTTTTTCTGGTCTCTGTCCCTCTCAGTGTTCTGGGTACTCTGGCTTCGACCTACCTGACCATATCCATTATCGTAAAGTACCACACCAGACCGGCTGTTCCGGTTCACATGGCCCCCCTCTTCTCCAGCGGGTCTGTAGCCGTCTCTAAATGCCTCACTGACAGCAGAACCTGGATTAAATGACCAGATCTGGTTTGTTTCTACAGGTCCGGCTCCTGGGCCTCGGCCTTCAGCGTCATTCCGACAATTTGTTTCGGTTTCCAGGTGTGTAGAAAAGTGTCAGCAGTTGGAGGCTGTTGGGTTCTGACTCAGTGTTAAAAAAGCAAATCAGATTAATCAGAAACATTAACAACAAAATAAAAAACTTTATTTCTAACAACGAGCCTCAAGAATCTGAACCTCAGAACCCTTTTCTAATTCCTCTTGTTGATTTGGACTGACAGTAAAACTGGACTCTTGTCTTGAGTTTCTGATGTCTCAGATTCTGATGGTCCTCTTTGTGTCTCAGTGCCACGAGGCGTCCATCGCCATCTACAGCAACATGGAGGACCGGCGTCTGTCTCACTGGGTCTGTGTCTCTGTGGCGGCCATGATCATCTGCTTCATCATTTACTCCCTCACAGGTCAGACCACCTTCTGTTTTAGTCCCGCCCACCTGTCTCTTTAAACCTCATTCTGCTGTTTAAGTCCCGCCCACACTTGTCAGATTGTTTTCAGCTTTAGTCCCGCCCACACTGGTCAGACCGCCTTCTGCTTTAGTCCCGCCCACACTGGTCAGACTGTTTTCAGCTTTAGTCCCGCCCACACTTGTCAAATTGTTTTCAGCTTTAGTCCCGCCCACACTGGTCAGATTGTTTTCAGCTTTAGTTCCGCCCACACTGGTCAGACCGCCTTCTGCTTTAGTCTTGCCCACACAAGTCAGACTGTTTTCAGCTTTAGTCCAGCCCACACTTGTCAGAATGTTTTCAGCTTTAGTCCCGCCCACACTTGTCAGACTGTTTTCAGCTTTAGTCCCGCCCACACTGGTCAGACTGTTTTCAGCTTTAGTCCCGCCCACACTGGTCAGACTGTTTTCAGCTTTAGTCCCGCCCACACTGGTCAGACTGTTTTCTGCTTTTATTTGATTTATTTATTTAACAGGAAAAGATTATTAAAAATCAAGCCTGACTCAGCATAATTGCTGTTTTACAGCAGGTTCCTGTTCTGCAGCACATAAAACACTCAGAAATGCTTTAGTCCCGCCCACACTGGTCATACTGTTTTCTGCTTTAGTCCCGTCCATCTTTAAACTTTTTTTTTTTACGATCACCGCCATGCTGGTGTGGAGGGAAGTGATGAAGATGAGGGAAAGCCACTCCTCTGTTCCAGGTGTTTACGGGTACCTGACGTTTGGGAAGCAGGTGGAGGCTGACGTCTTGATGTCCTACCCCAGCCATGACGTCCTGATGCTGGTCGCCAGGCTGCTGTTTGGGGTCTCCATCATCACAATCTACCCCATCATCGTGCTGCTGGGCAGGTCGGCCATGTTTGTTTCCTGACCACGTCGGTCAGTCTGGGTTGTCTGCACGTTTATGAGTAATCAGTGTCTGACCTGCAGCCTCGTTTCTAATCAAATCTAGCTTTTTAAATTCTCGTCCTGGTTTGTGACATCATCAGATCCGTGATCCAGGACCCTCTGCTGAGTTGGTGGCGGAGATGCGGCGGCGCTGCGGAGAAGGAGCGGTCAGAAAGCCACAGCCGCTACGCGCTGACGGTGGCGTGGATATTGGTGACGCTGCTCATCGCCGTCTTCGTACCGGACATCAGTAAGGTGATCGGCATCATCGGAGGGATCAGCGCTTTCTTCATCTTCATCTTCCCAGGTGGAGCTCCGCTTGCTGCTGTAAGTTCAGCTCAACGTTCTTTTGTTAAAGCTGGTGTGTCCGTCTGCAGGACTCTGTCTGGTGTTCGCCGTGCGGTCCGAGCCCGTTTCCTGCAGAACCAGGTGAGGCTGAACTGGGTTTATGTACAGCGGCGGTGCGTTCAGGGCCAGTCGGGGGAGAAATGAGATGCTCTGAGAGTGGGCAGGGTCTGGTGTAAGAACACAAACCTGTTGCAACTTTTGAACGAGCTCTTATTATATTATAGTATTTATTCATTTCCTTAAAAAAAAACATTACGTTCAACAAAACAATAAAAATAAAATAAAAGGCAGCAGAAGAAGAAAAAAATCTTATCTGCTCCTATTTACAAAATATATATATTAATTTTAAAC